ATGTTGACCAAAGCCAGAAGACTGACCTGAGCCAGAACCATGTTGACCAAAGCCAGAAGACTGATGTGAGCCAGACTCCTGTTGACCTAAGCCTGAAGACTGACCTGAGCCAGAACCATGTTGACCAAAGCCAGAAGACTGACCTGAGCCAGATGCATGTTGACCAAAGCCAGAAGACTGATGTGAGCCAGAACCATGTTGACCAAAGCCAGAAGACTGACCTGAGCCAGAACCATGTTGACCAAAGCCAGAAGACTGTCCTGAGCCAGACACATGTTGACCAAAGCCAGAAGACTGATGTGAGCCAGACTCCTGTTGACCAAAGCCAGAAGACTGACCTGAGCCAAACCTCTGTTGACTATACCTGGAAGACTGACTGGATGTGGACCCACGTCTGCTATGGCTAGAAGACTGATGTGAACCAGACCCCTGGTGACCATAGCTAGAAGACTGCCTAAAGCCTGTTCCATGCTGACCAAATCCAGAAGACTGACCTGAGCTAGATCCATGTTGACCAAAGCCAGAAGACTGACCTGAGCCAGACCCATGTTGACCAAAGCCAGAAGACTGACCTGAGCTAGATCCATGTTGACCAAAGCCAGAAGACTGACCTGAGCCAGACCCATGTTGACCAAAGCCAGAAGAGTGATGTGAGCCTGACCCCTGTTGGCTATACCTTGAAGACTGACTAGATGTGGACCCATGTCGGCTATGGCTAGGAGACTGACTTGAGCCACTCCTGTATCCACCACAGCTAGAAGACTGACCAGAACCAGACCCCTGGTGACCATAGCTAGAAGACTGACCAAAGCCTGATCCATGCTGACCAAATCCAGAAGACTGACCTGAGCCAGACCCATGTTGACCAAAGCCAGAAGACTGACCTGAGCCAGATTCATGTTGACTGAATCCAGAGGATTCTCTTTGACCATACCGATGTTGCCTATGCCTGGAAGACTGGCTTGATCCAGATGTTTGTTGGCCATAGCTGGAAGACTGATTTGATCCAGACCCATGTTGACCATAGCTAGAAGACTGACCTGAGCTGGATCTATGCTGACCACAGCATGATGATGAAGAACCATGTTGTTCATAACTAGAGGATTGACCTGAACCATATCCATGTTGACCAAAGCCAGAAGTCTGACCTGAGCCAGATTCCTGTTGACCAAAGCCAGAAGATTGACCTGAGCCCAACTCCTGTTGGCTATACCTTGAAGACTGACTGGATGTGGACCCACGTTGACTATGGCTAGGAGACTGACCTGAGCCAGTCCTATAGCCACCATAGTTAGAAGACTGCCCTGAGCTGGACCCATGGTGACCATAGCTAGAAGACTGACCGAAGCCTGATCCATGCTGACCAAATCCAGAAGACTGTCCTGAACCAGACCCATATTGGCCAAAGCCAGAAGTCTGACTTGACCTAGACCCATGTTGCCTGTACCTTGAGGACTGAACAGATCCAGATGCATGATGATTGTGGCTAGAAGACTGACTTGAGCCAGATCTGTATCTACCACTGCTGGAAGATTGTGAGCTAGATCTGTATCGCCTGTGCCTAGAAGATTGGCTTGATCCGGATCTGTTTTGGCCATATTCACCACTGCTGGGAGATGAAGCTGAACCAGACCTGTATCGCCTGTGGCTGGAAGACTGGTTTGATTGAGACACATGCTGTCCACAGCTAGAAGACTGACCTGAGTTGGATCCATGTTGGCCACAGTTTGAGGTCTGTCCTGATGAAGAACTATGTTGTCTGTAACTAGAGGATTGACCTAAGCCAGATCCATGCTGACTAAAACCAGAAGACTGACCTGAGCAAGATTCCTGTTGACCAAAACCAGATGACTCTCTTGAACTTGATCGATATGGCCTGTGTCTAGAATATTGACTTGATCCAGATCCATATTGATTGTAACTTGACGATTGCTCTGAGCCTGAACTCTGTTGGTCATAACTAGATGACTGACCTAAACCAGACCTGGGTTGATTGTGGCTAAAAGATGAGCCTGATCTAGACCCATGTGGTCCTAAGCTTGAGGACTGACCAGTTGAAGATCCATACTGTCCATAACTTGATGACTGACCTGACCCTGACCCATACTGTTCATAAATCCCTGAGGTGCACTCATGGTATTTCTGACTAGATTGTCTTGATCCAGGTGTTTGATTTTCACTATTCCATGAATGACCGTATGAATTCAATTCATACTGTTTTTGCCTAGAAGAATGGCTGGATCCTGAACCATATCTGGAGATAGACCTAGACTTACGTTTAATGCTTCCTCTGGAGCCTCTGGAAAAGGAGCTATTCTCTCCTGCACTTGAACTTGAATACGTGGAAGAGGATTTTTGTCTGTTTCCTTCCTCTTCTGTTTCACTCTGTTCCTCTTGGTGCTGGTGACTGTGCTCTTTCTGCTTTGACCCTGAAGCTTGGCAGTAGTCTTTGCCAACAATTTTATTACAAGCCCGAGACAGCTTGAATATCATCAGAAGATACTCAGTAAAATCCACTTGTTTATTATGATCTCGATCCAGATTTTGCATGATGATATCTACAGTATCTGGATCATCTGGATTCTGTGTAGGAATGAGATACAAAGGCAGCTTCATCATTATAGATCTTATACTCAGATAACCAATTGGAAGAAGGCTGTACAAATATGGTGCTTGGTATTTTGAGGTAGACATCAATCACATAGTGCTTTGCCCTGCATTGCCCTATCTTCAGCAAAGAGAAAGGAGTATGGAGTGAGTAATGCAGTGAGAAATAACTAGAAGAGGATGCAAGTGGAAGGTGAAAGGGAGCAGGGGACTAATTATTTTTGATAAAGCATGGTCAAATAGGAACAATTACCAGATTTATAATAATAAATGTAGATTGTGAATTGGCTATATAATTAGTGATATAAATAATCTTTATTTGTTCAATCAAATCCATTATTTAACTCATTCAGCATTTATTATTACCTATTATCTGACTACCATTGTATTTTATGAAGGAATAAGCCAGTACACTTGACTATTCTTACAAAATGCAACTTGAAATTTAATACAGATACAGAAACTTACAATTTATCATGAGAAGGTTTCTCTGAGGGTATTGGAAGAGAGCTATTTAGGGGTATGAGCAAGGTTAATAAGAGGAGGTAATCACTTTTGAATGATGAGCTAGACTTAGCCAAATGAAGAGGTAGAAAGGAAAGGGCTAGAGGTGAGTGAAGGCATGGCTCCTCAGAGAACTGAGAGAATTGCTGGGTTTAGAGTATGGAGACTCAAAAGAAGTGGATAGAGAGATAAATAGGGACTACATCATAACTTTTAAGTCATTTTAAGGGATTTTGGATTTTGAATGCAAATTGCTTTGTATGCAAGATATAAATTGTTGAAGGATTTTGAGCATCTAATGCTGAGATTGGAAGTAGAAGATGCACTAAAAGTAGTGGTAGAGACACATGGGCTGTTGATGAACTAGGTGGAGACAGGAAAGTGCTGCTGCCCACTGAGAGTGAGGATATCAGGAATGGCACCAGATTTCTACCTTGAATGAAAAGGGGAAGGAAAAATTTAGAGGAGAAGATGGTGAGATTTATATCTGACCAACTTAAGACATCCATAAGATTCCAAATAATATTCAGTGGGCAGTCAAATTTAAGGAATGGAAGGTTGAGAGGTGAAATACTTATTTTTAGAACTGACACTTTTAAGGTAGTTGTTGCTCTTGTGGTTTAGGTTTACATGCTGGTTTCTAGAACTCAGATGCCTTCCAGTACCAGAATTTCAGAAATGGGCATTGGTCTGGACATTTTGGAGTGAAGAAAGACAAAGATGGGAAAGGAAATGCACTTCACATGCTTTGTAAATTTTGAGGTCCACAATTGCTCCCATAGATATGACAGCTAAAGAAACTATAGACTTTGGGCCAGCCAGATAGCTCAACAGGTTAAAGTGTCTGCTTAGGCAGAGAGCAGGCACTAGGGTTCGATCCCCAGCATGCTGTGCTGGCCCCACCCCCAGGGTGCATTGAGAGTGTGATTGAGACTGGGTGTGTTGGTGCATGCCTGTAATCCCAGCACTTGGGAGGCTGAAAACAGGAGGATCACTTCAGGTTGATCTATGTAGTGAGACCCTGTAGATTCTGTACTGAATAACTGAAAAAAAAAAAAAACTATAGATTTTGTCTGATTTTTGTTGGGATAGTTTATTTGGTCACGTGTTACTTGGTCATCCATTATGGATCAACTTTTATTTTTATTTTTATTTTTTTGGTGGAACCAGTGATTTAACTCAGGCCCTTGAAGAATATGGATTAACTTTTGATGGCATCACAAGCCCACTAAGTTCCAATTCTGTATTGACAAGCAGGGAGAGTCCTCTGAGATGATTGGCATACATGATAAAAAGCTAGGACGTGGCAAAGAGGAGAATTTCAGAAGTGAGTCATAACAGAATTATTACCTTCAGAATTTGACGAAATTCATTTTCCAAAAGTTCTTTCAGCTCTGCCTTGCTCAACATGTCACATTCCTCATTCTGGGTAGCATATTGGTAGAAAACATCGATGACAGTGACAATGCCTTGTAGGAGTTTAGGCATCTTTTTGCAAATTTAAGTTAACCTAAAAGGGTGGGGAGAAGTACACTTTTTATTTTTTATTATTGCTTGCTACTTCCTTCCTTCCTTTCTTTTTTAAAAATTTCTTTCTTTGAGATAATTTCTTTCTGTACCGTTTAGACTGGCCTTGAGCTCACTGTAGTCCAGGCTGGGCTGAAACTCAGCATGAGCCACACACTACCTGGCTATTCTTTTTTTTTCTTTTTCTTCAACACATAAATAGATATATTAACTTGTAAGAATTGTCAGCCATCATTAATTTTATTCTGTCTTAAGAACTAATCCAGGGTTGATTGATTTGTTGAATTCATATAGCAAGAGAATGATGAAATTAGCAACAGGACCCATGTTTTGTATTTCTGCTACTAAATTAATGTGGGAGTGACAGTTTTCTGTTTTGGGCTCCATCCCTTACCAGAGGCATTAACTTTACTGAGGAATTATAGAAATCCTGAGTTTTCCAACTGATCCTTTGTAAGAAACAGAGGACTGTTTCTTTGTAGATCCCAACCATCACACTTTAGGGGACAGGTCCCTCCTCTACATAGGATGTCAAACTCCAACTGAAATATACCAATGGCTAAATTGGATCCTCAAGACTTGTAGACTAGCGAGGGTAGACAAAGTGAGCAAAGCCATCCATAGTTTTAGGTGATATGAAACTGGGGAGCTGCTGTTATCAGAATTAGCTTCTGTTCTCTTTCTCCACACACGAAGTGATCCTCAGGCTTTACTGGATATACAGCAGAGAGAAAAGGCTCAGCAGTTAAACAGAGATCTTGCCTAGGAGGTAACTAGGTTCCCATGACCTTAAGCAAAGACTGTACAGAAAGACTATCCTACATATAGTTTGGTTATTACTTCATTTTTGTTTTCAATAGGGTTAAGTTCATACCAAAGTTCTCTAAAGCAACACACACACACACACACACACACACACACACACACACTCATATCAGTTCCTTTTTGCTTTAGAGAACATCCTGGACTTTCCTAATTTTGCAGCCTTAAGAACTTACGAGCAGTGCGGAACCACCGCTTACTCACCCAGTGCACCAGAGGAACGGTAGGATGGAGATGGAAGCAGCTTGCAGGGTGCTGCTCCTGGGGACAATGGCCTTCTTATAGAAGGGATGATGGTCCATATAGGGAGGAGCTGCCCTCTTGGAGATGTCCTAATGCACTCCTAAACAAGTTCAGCTCCTTCTCTATCTCCACCTTCTGGGTGTTTACCTTCTTACTTCCTTACATGCTTGCCTGAGACTGCAATAGCAGTTCTCAAATCTGGGCTAGTATCAGCCCCACCTGTCAGTCACAGGACACTGAAAGAAGGCCTCTTCATGTATTCACTCAACTATGTGGCACCAAGAATCAACAACAAATGACATGGACTTTAATGGAGATTAAATAAAATATGTGCAGGGACATCAGGGCCCAAATGTCAAAGAATCATGGAATTTAATGTTCAGAGGAACTGTAAAGATTATCTAGTGAGACTTCACTATTCTGAGATAAAATTTACATGAAATCCTATTCAGGATGTTATCTATGATCTTCTTATTACCTCTTGGAATGAATAATGGATGCAGAGGCTGTCCTTTGTATCTGCTTAATTAACTCAATTTACCAAGACTTAGTGCCCGCTGTCAATATAAATTTCATTTCAGCCACCATACAATTAGTAGGAAAAGCCTGTCCTCATGACCTTGGCTATAGGTTCTCTCTGTCTGTCTCTGTCTCTCTGTCTCTGTCTCTCTTTCCCTGTCTCTCTCTGTCTCTGTCTGTCTCTCTGTCTCTCTGTCTCTCTGTCTCTCTGTCTCTCTCTCTGTCTCTTCTCTCTTAGATTTGGTACAGGGTCTCACTAGCATCTCGGACTCTTAGTGATCCTCCTTTCTGTTTTCAGCCTCCATGGCTGTTCTTGGTGGCCAGTTCAGTGTGGGTGGGGCTGGTGCAGCATGTGGTGCCCGCATCGGACCCCAGTCCATGCACTATCCTAAGCAGATGCTTAGACTGCTGAGCTGTCTCACTGGACCTTGGCTATGGGTTTTTACAGCTCCATTTTTTCTTTTACATTCCCTTTTATGTTTCACTTATAATTAACTATTTCAACCTTCCTTAGTATAGAGTGCTATTTCATGTTTCTTTGTCTTGGTATATCTTTCCTCACCTGGTGATTACTATTCGTTGTCCAGAATCCCTGTTAGCCTCCCTGTGTGAAATCTTTCTTGAATTACTCAAGAGAGAGTTATAATTAATTATATACTTCATAATTGTATAGTTAGATAACTCGACATACTTTATTTTTCATGATTGTTTTACAATGTAATTAATGCTTAGTGTAAAAATTAGAAAATACAGACATGAAAAACAGAAAAAACTGAACCTCCTAGCTGTAAATAATTACCATTAATTATTTGGTTCAATATTGATAAATTGGCTACTTACTCATATATATGTGTGTGTGTGTGTGTGTGTGTGTGTGTGTGTGTGTGAATGGACATTCTTTATTCCCATGTCACTTAGAGACTTCAGTGTATTCCTGGCACATACAGGTCTACAATAAATATTTGTCATTTTAAGTTGAATTTAAAGAGGAATGGGGCCATAAGTATACTCTTTTACACTGACCAACTTTCTCCCAGCCCAGTAGGGTTAGGACCTGCCTGCTCTCTTGTCTTATCATCTTCCCCTCAAAAGACATGATTCACCTTGGTTGTAGTCTGAGTCTTAGCACGGGGAATCAGTGAGTGGCTCTCTGTGTACCTGAGCACATTTCTCCATCTTCTGTCCATTATGAACATATGACACAAAGTTTACTAAACTGAAGTGACACAGACTTACAACTTGGGCAATATTGTAATTGTAATTTGAGAAGGAGCGGTAGCAACTATTGACAAATGATAATTATATGATTCCAAATTCAACCATCATTAGGCTCTGTGTGTGTGTGTGTGTGTGTGTGTGTGTGTGTGTGTGTGTTTGAACTACCCAGAGGGCTATGGAATCAGTATCCATTCTGTAGTTATGTTTCCCTTGGATGCCCGATTTGGTCCAGGATTCCATGCTTTATCAGAGCAATGACCTTTTTAATGGGTGCCTGAGACTGGGAGTGAAGGTGAGGTGGGCTCTGTTGAATGAAGTCTGATTTCCTGCAGGAGCCAGTTGTCTCAAATGGAGGAAAAGGTTGCCTGTAGACTATCCCAGGCGAACATGCCCTTGAGACCAGTGTTCTAAACTTGCCAGCATATTTTTGGTAAGAGCTTAGATAATAAATATGACAGGATTTGTGGGCCAGTTGGTGGTCTTTGTTGCAGCTACTTAACTCTGCTGTTGTAGCTCAGAAGCAACCACAAATGAAGTGTTAACAAGTGAGCATGATCTGTGTTTTATTATTTTTTTATTTTTATTTTTATTTTTATTTTTTATTTTTTTGTTCCTCGAACGCCTTCAGGGCACTTTTGGCCAGCGGGAGAGTTGTGAGGTTCGAACTCCAGCAACCTGAGGCTGACAGCTTTGTGGAAGCAGCCACTTAAAGGCCTGAGCTAGGGCCAGGCCCCCTGATCCGTGTTTTAGTAGAACTTATTATTTCATGTAATTTCATATCACAGTTTTCAACCAGTTATGCATACAGAAAACATTCTGGTGGGATGTAGAAAAGCTGATGATACGTTCCAAACGGCCTGTGAATTATAGTTTGCTACCTTTGCCTCCTTCATTTGCTTGTCAGGTATAATTCTCTGGGAAAGGAAAACCTCATGTGGAAGCAGAAGGTCTGGGAAATATAGGACCCCAGAGGCATTCAGTCTGGTGAGAGAGAAAGGTGTACGTGCCTATGAATTTCATTATGTTAGGGTGGTAGTGAGAGAGAATAGAGTAAGGGACCTAAAGGTGCTTATTAAAGGGTGGTACATTCTGGATTGATGTAGGGAAGAAAATTTCAGCATCTACAGTTGACTGAAAGTGTGAGAAACTCTATGATAATCTAACTTATTGTCAAGGATATTATAGGGACTTTCTTGTATCATGCAAAGAATATTTTGGCATTTTTTAAACAAACATTTAATCCTTTCGATGTCCTTTATTTATTCTTTCAATATCCTCAACCAACTAGAATTTTGCTTAATTCGTCAACCAGAATTTTGTTGATCTTTATTTCCTGATTTGTGTCAAGAAAACAAGAGTCATGTAGAGTATGAGTTTTAACTTCTCTTCCTACTGGTATTTCTAATGTAAGAGTTGGACTAGATTATCACAAAAAGTTCTTTTTATAAAACTGAGGTTCATGGTTTTACTGGTGTGTGTGCTCCATAGTAGTAACAGGGCTGAGCATACAGATTCCCTTATTATGTTTGTTTAGTGATTTTTCCCTTTAGAGACACTAAATTTCAGGATTCAAAATTTTTTATAGCATGCACCATAGTCTAGATCTTTGAGGGTCTCTCTCTGGTGCATTGCTAGAAGAGTAAACGTTGTGCTCTCCCTAAAACATTGTGTTGCTGATGTACATCAATCTTGATAACAACTCCATGATTCAGATTATTATTTCCTCTATTTTTCAGATGAGAAAATTGAGGTTCAGGGAAGTGTTCAACTTGTTTCCAGTCACTTAGTTATTAAGTGGAAGAGACAAGGTTAAAGCTCAAACCTGCTTCCTTCTAGGAATAGCTAGGGAACAGAGAACTATTCATGTGTTAGAAAAGGCAGGTTGTGGAGCTATTTCTTGAGCAATGGAGTGTCTCATTTTAGACTGCCCAGCAACACTGGCAAGAATGAGTTAGAGTGCGTGGCTGAGTGGCAGTGATGTGTCTTTAGCGCCATCTGCTGGGAGTAGGGAAATGCTACAATGTGCCTTTCTCCTTGCTCGTCATTTCCCCTCATCTCGTCTATGTTGTCATAGTTCTTTGTATTTCAGGCTCCATGAATGAAAAAACTATTAAAACAATCAGGAAGGTACACACACACACAGAAGATATTGAAGAGTG